ACCCACATGATAGCATCCGATGAACAGATGACATTTTGTAAAAAGCGCTCTCCTCCAACTGATATCTTGATTACATAAAATCTCAACCAATATTCCAGCAGATATTTCTAGGGAATTTGACAAGCTGATTATACGTTGTATGGAAATGCAAAGGGACAAGAATAGGCAAGACTCTCCTAAGAGGACATTCTATCCCACCAGATATCGAAACTGCATACAAAAATTAGAGTAATTCACATAGCCCAGTACTCCTGCAAGCATAGAGACAAAGACGAATGACATGGCATAGAGTCCAGAAACAGTGTCACACGTGTGTGGACACTTTCTTTAAGACCAAAGTAGCATAGCAGAACAGTGGGGACGGGACTGTCTCTTCAATAAATTGGTGCTGGGTCAATTGGATCCTCGTTGGGAAAATAAATTAGACTTCATTCCTACTTCCCACTACACTCAGAAATCCATTTCAGGTGAAACACAGATGTAAATCTGAAAGGGTAAAAACAAGAAATCTAGAACTGTACTGCCCACGTATGGCTAACGAGCACTTGAGATGTGCCATGAAGTGTCACCTTTACCAAGATTAGAAATACTATGAAAAAACAATGTCTCAATACTTCCTGTATGGAACCTTTGAAATGATAATAATTGGGATATAGTGAGTTCAAGAAAACATCCCTAAAATTAGTTTTCCCTGATTCATTGTTCCCTTTTAATGTGCATCCGCTTTAAAGTGGGAGAGGTTTCTGAGTCCTTCCAAAATCTTTTTTAGGAAATAATTGACCAAAGTGAGGTCCATCATATGTCCCTGAGCTCCTGGGTCTGCCACTTGCTGTCCAGCCCTTTCCTGGGGGTCTCCAGGGCCGGTTCTAGTAATGAGGCTGGGACCCGAGAAGGCCAGGCAGGTGAGTTGAGCACCGGAAAGAGGAGGGGAACGACAGACATACAGTCTCCAGAGGTGGGAGCAGGGCTGGATGGATCCAGGTGGGGGACGCCTGGGGCGCGCCAGGTGGGGGCGCCCAGGTGATGTAACTTAGCAGAATCCCGCGGCAGGAGGTGTTGCCCTGATACCGCGTGGGACGCGGTTGCCTGGAGTCCGCGTGGCTGGCACCAGGCCAGCCAACAGAGGGCGCGGGAGACGCTGGCAGGACCTGCGCGCCAAGGCCATGGCCGGACGCCAAAGGGAGAAGGGGGTCACGGATGAAGTCCATCAGAACGAGATTTTGCGGGAACTGTACCTCAAAGAGCTGCGCACCCAGAAACTCTACACGCAGTATCACGTGAATCCCCTGCGCAAGGGTGAGGGGTGGCGGGGTGGGGGAAGGGCGAGGGGTGCTGGCGCGGGGTGGGGGGGCTCAGGAGGAGCCTTGAGAGGGCTGCCAGCTGGCGGTGCGGGTCCCAGGGAGGGAGAAGAGCTTCTCTCACTCTGCCCTTCCTAGACCTCAGACCCAGGACTTGGAAGGGCCTCGCACCGCTTCACATCAGATATATTAGATGTATTACAATGGAGCCATATGGCGATTATGTATTTTCATTGCAGGATAAAAACGGCTTTTTATAATATTGCTTTTGAAATAATTATATTTTTCAGGGTTTTTATGTTTTGGTTTTGTTTTTATGTTGTTTGCTTTTTAATGAGGTGAAGGTTTTTTTCATACTTTGCTCCACTCCAGCCGTATTCCTTTAGTAAGCATCTTGGTCGCGAGTCTCCACAGCCACGGCTAAGGATCCCACACACACTCCTTAATCCACTGCCATTTCTAAAGAAATGGATTTCCCAAATACATCATGCCATTTCTGTAGCTTTACCTACATAAGCATTGTTCCTTCTTCCTGAATTTAGTCCCCAACTTGTGTGCCTAATTAACTGTACACTACAGTTCACTGCAGTCTGGCTATATAGAGAATTTATACTGTCTTTAATTATAACTAACGTGGTTTAATCTGGAACTCTTAACCACTAATTTCAGGAAAAAAAATTAATGTCCAATTCTTCTCAATCCTGTTCCATGGCAACAACATAAATAATCCCTTCAGGCAACATTGAGGCTTTCTGGGAAAAGTGCTGCCTCTCAGCTCCAGTCCCTTGGGGACATGACCCATTTGGGTAAAGTGAGAAAATATTACAACTTGTATTGATGTTGACTTTTATCTATACAGATAGAAACTATGCTTTGCTAACATACTGACAATAGTACACAGAGACTATCTAAACATACATCTACCAGGGGTGCACGCTCCCAAGCTGCTTTACTGCTAGGAGTTTGACATAATCAGTTTGCAGTCCACTGGTCTCCACTCACCCCTGCTCATTTCCTGCCAATCCCCACCTAGCTCACTCCACCTGACCACTCAGGCCTTCCTGATGTCGCTCAAACCCTCCAAGCTCACGCTCGTGTTCTCCCCACACGTCCTCACACCGCCCACTCCCCCATGGCAGTCAGGGCTCTGCTCAAATGTGTCTCCCTGGACATGGATCGCCCACACCCCCACCATCGACGCTCTCTCCTCTCATCCTGCTCCGCTGCCTCCTTCACACCTACGTCGCCTGATGCCACGTTCGTTTCTCATCGGTCACCACAAATAGAATGAAAACTCGGGGAGTGTGGGAACCTTCTCCGTCGTGTTTACAGCCACGTACCGGTACAGCAGTAACTTTGAGCTGAAAGCGGAATGTGGATTCCGCTCCTCTCTTATCACAGACCCTCCTGGGTAGAGATCAGTATCTGGCTACCCTCCCTTGGCTGCCTGGCACGTTTGCCTCCCCTGTAGACCAGCACCGTCCAAGACAGCATTTGTCCATGACAAAAATGTTCTGTATCTGTGCTGGACTCAAAACCGTGGCCAGTAGCCACATGTGGCTGTTGCACACTTGAAATGTGCGGACTGGTGTGTCTAAGGAACTGAATTTTTCCTTGCATTTGACTTCAGTTAATCAAACTCAAGTAGCCACATGTGATTGGTGCCCACCATACTGGACGGTGCCACCGTGGATTGTGAGTTTCTTGAGGCCTTTATTCAACTTTATCCCCTAGCACCAAGCACAATACCTGGCATGTGCCAGATACTTAATAGGCGCCAAATGGGTGTCTTACCTAAGGTGGGTCTTAGAGAGGGCAGGGAATTTGTGTTTTAACGCAAACCTGTGATGCTGTTTTTCTCCAGTTCACACGATAACCAGAAAGCCGATGTCTTGGCATGATAACCTGGAGGAACCTGCAGATGGTAAGTCCTGGGCTTTGAGATGCCATCGAGTTAGAGCACAGAGAGGCTGACTGGCTGCAGAGAACTCAGTTTACTGTTCCCTTGGGTCAAGCTTCAGACTCCTCTGCTTTGATCCTGAAAATTTGATTCATACTATTCAAACTCACAAGAGACTGACATATTCAATTACAACTGTCAAGCCAACAAAAATGTTCCTAACGGCCTTAACACTGCACTCGTTGGTTCATCACACAAGCACACGTCCTGGAGTCACACTCACTGATGTAACATCCTGGGACTGCCACTTATTCACTGCTCTACTTCTGACATGTTGTTAACGTTTATGAGCATATTTCTTAGGGTTTTTGAAAGGATGAAACAGAAAAATGCAAGTGCTTAGAACAGTATCTGGTACTTAGTGCTCAGGAAACGTTAGTTATTAGTATGAGTCTTTTCATTGTTAGGTAGTCACTCTGCTGTGGCTGGGCTGGGGATCTCATAGCATCATGATGGAGAAGACAAGTAAGGAGACGTGGAAACCAATAGACAAGTGCAGAGGACCCATGATTGGTGTGGCAACAGCATGGGACACAGGAGCCCCAGTGAGGCTGTGGACTTCTCGAAGTCTTCTTGGAGGAGGGACCATAGGGTGAGGCGGAGGAGACTGAGGAAGGACATTCTGAGTTGTATGCAAAGGCACAGAAATGAGAAACACTCCCACGGGTGGTTTTGCATGGCCACAAAATACAGGGGGAGAGGGGGCCACGTGTGGGAAGGAAGAAAGAGGCCTATGTGGAAAGTCCATCCCTCCCGTCAGCCCTGCTTCTTCCCCTCTGCCTTCCTGGTGCGGAATGTGGTGCAGGAAGGGTGTCGGAGGACAGCCTGGGAGGGGGGCAGTAGAGGATCTCAGGGCACTGTGACAGAGATTGACTAGTAGATAGACTGATGCGGAGGGCAGGGTCACAGAGAGCAGGGCGCCATCTGTAGTCACTCTCCCAGCCAGCATAAAGGACGCAAGCTGGGGACTTGGAGCAGGAAGGAACATAACAGGTGATGAGGATCTGGCAAGCCAGGCAGGAGGACTTGCTGTCTGCCTTATGTTAGGCATATGCCCCGCCCGGTTCCGGTCACCTGGATCATCTTTCTTCTTTTCATTCTCAGTCATCCTGCTGAGGTAGGCATTTTCCTCCCATTTTGCAGACGAGAACAGTGAGGCCAAAGGAAGTGAGGCCACCGGACAGGCTAGAGGTGGCGCCGACTCCAAAGCCCAGGGTCATTCCAGGATGCACCTGCCTCTCTTGGGCAGAGGAGCTGTGCAGCTGAACATACGTCTGATGTCGGCAGCCACACTCATTTCAGTCCAGGAGGATGGGACCTCACTCCTTACCACCTTCCTCCTCACTCTCTCTGTTGGGCCAGTAGCCAAACTTGCTCCTGCCCCAGGGCCTTTGCTTTCACTGCTTGTGGTGTGCTTGTCCTCTGCCTCTACCCAAGGCTGGCCATGCAGTAGCTGCCCTTCCTTCTCAGGCCCTTTCCCACCTTTTCCTTCATAGCATTTGTATGGGCCTGCCACTATAGAGTCTATTTGTATGCTTGTATGTTGTGTCCTCTGCCCCCATCCAGACTGTGAGTTCTAGGAGAGCAGGGATGATGTCTGCCTCACTCAGTGCTCTCCCCACCCCCAGGGCCCAGAACAGTGCCTGGCACAGCGTCAGTGACCCCCCCATAGTGGTTGAAAGCAGAGCAGAAGGACCAGATGTCCCTGTCTCTAGGTCTAGGCAAGTCTCTGAGGCCAGATACTCTGCTCTGAGGAACGATGTGTCCAGAGTAAAGGGCACAGGAACCTCCACTGCTCCCAGATTCCGACTCCTTCATAACTCTGAACTTGTCTCCCAGCCAGGTTTCTGAATCTCATTCACCATGCTATCCAGGGACCAAAGATGAAGTACCCAGAGACACAGACTGAAAACCAGGAGATTGGATGGGACCCTGAGCCCTTGGTAAGCATGGCTGCTGTCCTTACTAAACAGCATGAGCACAAGGGCAGCACAGGTGGAGGCCAAGAGAACACAGCAGGGAGCTACAGGTGGCTCGGTGTGAGTTCTGCCAGCCACTTACTAGCTATGGGCTCCTGGAAGTACTAAGTTCTTTAGCGCCTCAGCTTCCCATTTGCCAACGGAGACCTTTCCGTACCTGTCTCATAAGGCTGTGATGAGGATGAATGGAGGGCGTATTTGTGCTATTCTAAGAATAGTGCCTGGCACAGAGGAACACTGTATACGTGTTGAATAACCATCGCTGATTACAGATGCCCGAGTCTGCTCCACCAGAGACCCCCACGGTGGGCTTGGCTTGTCACTTAACTTCTGTGAGTTCTGGTCCCTTGTCTGTACAATGGGAATGGTAGAAAAAGCACTCTCCTCATTTCATTGAAGGACTCCACTGGCTGCTACGGAGCCCGGGAAACATAGTTTCCTACACATTATCACTCTAAGTAATACAGAGCTTCTGTTATATGGAAAAAGCAGGATTTGTAGCAGACTGTAACCTAGCTAAGCCTTCATTCATCTGTCTTAAGGTGAGGATAATCATATTATCTAAACACAATGGTTTGTTGTGAAGATTAAATGAGACAGTGTAGAGAAACTACCCAAAAATGTGGGCTAGTGTGATGCTGATGTTAAGAATAGGAAGGAGGACACTGAGCCCCACCTAGAACCAACCAGGGGCCTCTCGTGGCTCCTTCTCTGGGCTCCGTTGCCTCCATCCACTGAGGAACTTTCCAGGGTGCTCCCTTCCCAAGGACCCTGCACACCGTGTCGCTCTCTGATTCCTACTGCAGGAACCAGGCCCTCTCATCTATTTACGCAACTCCAGTGTAGGGCACATGGCTCTCCTGCAGGGCTGCTTCACACAGATGTGGACAAATGGCTGAATGCGTCCAGGTTTTACCAGTGAGGAGGAGAGTAAATCAGCTGTACATTTGCAACAGCTCCTCTTCAGACACGGGGCATGGCATGGAGAGAGGAGAGCGGGGGAGATAGAAGATTGCAGCCAGAGCCTCTATTACTTACATAAGGAAGGACGGAGTCCAGAGGGCAGGGATGTGGTTAGAGAGCTGGAGAGGAGGTCACCACTCAAAAGAAGGAGGGAGGCCTAACTAATTGTGAATGAGGTAAGAGTATTAAAGAAGAAAATGAAGGACAGTTATTAAATATGCAAATGAGCAATGAAAGGATTACTCAGTGATTGATCAAAAGGAGAAGGAATACTTTCTCACATGAAGAAGCTATTATTTCAGTGGGGTTTGTGGTGAGGGATTAGGTTCAACTCTGAGCACAGCTGGGCAAGTGGGAATGTCCAGCCAGGAGCAAGTGGGGTCAGTGATGGAAAATGACTATGAGGAAACATCAGGGCAGAGGTGGCTTCTGTCTAAACCCCACCTGACAGGATTCTTGCTGAAGGCGGGCCAGGGTGATCAGACATCACCTGCGGGATGCTGGCGGATGAGGGACCCGACTAAGGTGGTCAGATATTGAGGGTGGAGGATTCTGATGAAACTGAGCAGGATTTTTGCTAAAGTTGGACAATGCAGATGTGAACGTGGAAGTCCAAATGTCAGGCCTAGTTGAAAAGGCTTCAGGGAGCCTGAGTAGAGTTTGGTCAAGGAGAGAACCTTCATCAGGGGAGAAGGAGGGTCATGAAGGAAGGGAGGTTGGGGTGAACAAAGAAATCACCCAAGCTAGGTAATTAAGGATCTTAGTAAAATACCACAAAGCACAACTAAAGGAAGTCACCGTTTTTCATTTTCTTAACCAGTGAAGACCTGACTCACGTGAGTGCAAGTGTGGGTGTGGAAATGCTGCATCTTTGACCCCGAAGGACGTCTCATGGCAAGCTCACCATGACAGGAAGGGCAACTGTGGCTGGCCCAGCCAGGCCTGCCCTGCTCAGACCCTCTTAGGCTTTGCAGATAACAGACTGCATGTGCCCCCAGCTCAGTTATCACTATAGAGTTGCAAAGGGTCTGCAAATATTCCATGCTTGTTTGTCACTATAAACCTGGGGCCAATGCCACCAGATGGTGCTGCTGGCATAGTAAGAAAGCATAGCCCCAAAGCCACAGATCCAGGTGTTGTGCAGCCTTAAGTGGTAACGAAGCTGGAATTTCTGGGTGATGTGGTTGGGGGCAGAAGAGTCTTGATCAGTCCAACTTGGGGCTCGCAGCCACCTGGCAGGACCTCACCCTGGACAGGTAGAATACTTGCAACCTCAACACTGGGACGGGGAAGCCACAGTCAGCGAGTACCTCTCAGCCTCATGCCTCCTGGTGACATTTGCAGTTAATTGCACAGCATAGCTTCTATAAGACGTGTCAGTGCTCACTTTTACTCAGTTCTCTGTGCGACTCTTTCAACACATTCATTCCTTCCTTTAACAAATGTGTGTTGAATGCCTAGTGTGCACAGGACACTGTTCTAGGTGCTGGGGATTTACTAAGACAGATACAGCCCCTCCCCTCACAGAGCTCACATTCTAGTTAGCAAAAGAACCCACAGTGCGGCCTCGAGTGGAGGCGGTGGGATAGGGAGTGCAGCAAAGTGGCATAGGCTATTCTCCTTCAAACTCACAACCCTTTTCATGTGAACGTTGTCAGCTCCACTGCCCAATGCAGCCACACGTCAGCAGAGTGGGGACCTATTTAAACCCAGGTCCACCTACTCCAACCCCAGGTCTGCCCCCTTCCCCACAGGCTTTTTTTTCATCCTGCATCCTCCTCTCTAGGTCAACCCAGAACGCCATGACCACAGGCTGAACCACTTCAGGGTCTACAAGGACATCACTCTGTATAAGGCTAAAATGTGGAGCCTGGGAGAAGATGATCGCCACAAATAGCATCCCAGTGGTGCCGTCAGTCCCTGTATTTGATGCCTAAAGTGTGTACTGCACAGAAAAATAAACATTACTTTCTAACTTTTCCTATCCTGAGTCTCACTTTTCTCAATTTCTGCCCAAGTCTGCTGGTTGAAATCCTTGTCTTGTAAGCCAGTGTGAGGATTCCAAGGAATGGTGGCAGGCTGTGTACATGTAATCGCCTCCTTGGTCTTCCCAGGCACTAATAAAGGATGATAAATTGATTAAAAATGGTATGAACCCACAACAGAGAGAATGGGAGAGAAATATTTGTAATCAAGAAAACTGAAGACATATTTAGAAGTTAGAAAACTAATATAGGAGGGTGGCAGAAACCATAAAATGCAAGCTTATGGGATAGCTGGGAAGAAAGCGAAAAACAGCACATACAGGGGTTAAAACAGGCTGTCACCCAGGTGCCTGGTTTTGGCCATCCCAACTACAGCCTTCCCTTTTGCCTTTTTGTAGACAAAATAATTGAAAATGTTCTAGGAGTATGAACTCAAAAAAAGTGACAATCACAGGCCAATTGGTTATTTGAGCCAGTAGTTAGACCCAGTAACAAGGGGACACCTCCCTTATATGAGGGCCATATCAGCTACAGCCATTTTTTTATGTAAGAATGTCAAAGAATTTGTCCTGGGGTCCCTGCTGACCATTTGTGCCCCCATTCTGTGGAATCTCTTGTTAACTCTCACCACACTCAACAGTCTAATGTCAGCTGCCTCACCTCTTATGAGGTGCTCTTGCTTTCCGCCCTGGACATCACTTTGAAGCACAGTAACACCCTGCCACTGTCCTCCCTGTCCCAGGCGAACAACGAGAGGAAGACCACGACTGCAGTCTACTAACTAATACCTTACTTTCCCCTAGGGAAGATTTTACAAGAAACTCCTCTCAGGAATGCTGAATTAATTTGGTTCCCAGATGGCTCTTACTTAAGGGATGACCAGGGGCATTACTGGGCAGGATACACCATCATTTCTGTGGTGGATATAATAGAAAGTGCCCAGCTCCAGGGTGTAAAATCAGACCAGGTGGCTGAATTAACAGCATTAACTAGAGCTTGCCAGTTGGCTGAAGGAAAGATAGCAAATATATACACTGATAGCTGATGTACTTTTGGAGTAGCCCATGATTTCAGCATGCTATGGAAACACAGCATGGGCAATCTATGCGACATGGCCACACTTACCTGCGCAACCTATACGACATGGGCACCAAGTCTCAGAGCTGTCAGAAACAATCCACATGTCAAGGCAGGTCACAATCATAAAAGTTCCTGGGCATTCAAAGGATAACACGGGAGAAGCAAAAGGAAATAATCTAGCTGGTGCTGCAGCAAAGAATGCTGCCCTAAGAAAGATGGCCTGGCCTATGGGAGAATGCACCCTCCATTTTGCCAATATCCTCACTAACATTCTTTCACAATATCAACAGACATCAACCCCTGGAGAGAAACAAATCTGGCAGCAAGAAGGAGGTGTAGAGAATTGTGACTAGGCCCTGACAGAAAATCCATAGTTCCTATAGGGGCACGATAACCTCTTCTTCAATTTATTCATGAAATGACTCATTGGGCCCCCCAAAAAAATGATGTCATGTGGAAAACAGTATTTCTGGAAACCATCCGTCACAATAACATAAAAGGTCTTTCTGGGTCTTTCCACGCTTTGGTCCTACTCCTGCCGTGCTGAGCCTGAGGGGAAGCCGGAAGGGACCCTCTGAACAGGCAGGCCCGTGCTGGCTGGGGTGCCCGTTGGCGTCGGTCCGGTCCTAGGGCTGCTGCCGCCCCCGCTGCGGAGCTGGGGTGGGACCGGACGTTGGCGGGTAAGGCGGGGGCGGGGGGAGGAGCGAATGTGGTGGGGGCAGGGTCGGCGTTTCCGGGCGCGTGGGGTGTGCTGGTTCTGCGGGGTCGGCTCTGCACCCCTTAAACTCAGCGGGAGGGTACCCCGAGACCTGTCGCTGCGCAGGGTCTGACTGGAAAGAGCGTCTTTCTAAGGCCTGAGGTCGAAGGCCCCACGCATACCTGGCAGGGGCCGGCCTGCGGGCTGTTGGGGGCCATTTCCGGCAGGTTGTGTTTGGCCCTTTCAGACAGGCGGACACAACAGCGAAGGCGTCTTGAGCGTGGAGTGAGTGCTGGGCACTGTGGGACTGCTTTACAGGGACGTAGTTTGGGTGGCGCTTGCCCGAGGCAACGTGCGAACTCGTGACTGGTGGAGCCGGTTTGGACCGGGCCTTCTCCGTGGGCGTTCACCTCTACGCTCAGGTGGCTGTCGCACGGTCGTGGTCTCCTCAGTGACTTCGGTAAGTGACTTCGTAAACCGCGACACATCCCTCCCCTCGGTGGTATACAGATACTGTCTTGTGAATGAACTGCGCAGGAGGGAGGGAAGAAGACTGATGGGACAGCTTTCTGGAGAAAATAAAAACCCCAACGCCCTGAACTCTCATTTTAAGTAACAGTAAAAAATATACTTGAGGTGGTGTCCTGTGGGTAACCGGCCCAGGGGTCCGACCCACGGAGGTGGAATCCCTGTTCCGCCGCGGTGTTTGTCCGGGTATGGTACTTAGCCGTTTAAGCCTCAGTTTCCTCATTTGTAAAATGGAGTTTAGAACACCAATTCAGAGTGGGCGTTAATACAAAGCCCGCTCTTAGTACAAAGCCTGCCGCCTGAAGTATTTCTTTTCTTTTTTTTTTTTTTTGAGACAGAGTCTCACTGTGTTGCCCGGGCTAGAGTGCCGTGGCGTCAGCCTAGCTCACAGCAACCTCAAACTCCTGGGCTCAAGCGATCCTCCTGCCTCAGCCTCCTGAGTAGCTGGGACTACAGGCACCCGCCACCGTGCCTGGCTAATTTTTTCTGTTTTTAGTTGTTTGGCTTATTTCTTTCTATTTATAGTAGAGACAGGATCTCGCTCTTGCTCAGGCTGGTCTCGAACTCCTGAGCCCAAGCAATCCTCCCGCCTGGCCTCCCAGAGTGCTAGGATTACAGGCGTGAGCCACCATGCCCGGCCATGAAGTATTTCTTATGTAAGTGTTAACAGAAACAGCTTTATTATTTTTTTTTTCACACTAAGCAGATAGTCCTGACCAAACCGTGTACATTTTTGGCTTCCCTCCAGTGTCCACTTGTCCCTGTGTCCACTTTTTGTGGCAGTTTTGCAAGCCCATGCCATTAGCATTCCCTCTGTTGCAGTCCAGTGGTCGCCAGGATCTTACCAGATTCCCGCGTTGTTGGATATTTAGGCTGTTTTTCACTTTAGATATTGTAGTATGCTGTAGTAAACAGATATTTTTTGGTTTTGAGATATAATCAACATACTATAAAATTCAACCTTTAAAAAGTTAAAAAACAAAAACAAAAAACCCCAAAAGGTATACTCTTGATGTACTGTACGTGTCCAAACACAACCCTGGCTAGCCCTTACATGGCTCCAAAGGTCATTTTCCTTTGCCTACAGGATCATTTGAAGTGTGGCAATTTGATTTCATCTAGATGTTGCCATCTCAAAATTATAAATATGTGTTGGTGTGGGTTTGTGTGTTTTCTCATTGAGGGTAGAAGCATATCCTTGTCAGAGGGCTACTGCCTTCACAGTAGGCAAATTATTGTTAGAAAGAATCATTCTAACTTGGGGAATCCCTTCTGAACTACACAGGCATCATGAGACTAATTTTAGTGGACAACTGATTCAATCCATTTGTGAAATCTGGCCCATAATACAATATTGCCATTGTGCTTATCATCCCCAATCCTCTGGGTTGGTAGAATGGACAAATGGCACAACAAATACTCAATTAGCTAAGTGAATAGAAGCTTTTAACCTCCCTTGGCCAAAAGCCCTCCCACTGGTCTTGCTTAACCTTAGATCCATTCCTTTTGGAAAGCAGTTTATTACCTTATGAAATAATAACAGGAAGACCTAGCAGGGCTGGATGAAGGCTTATATGAGCCCACCTTAGTCAAGGGGGAAATACTGCATTAATGTCAAGGACTACTTAGCACTTTAACACATAACACAAAACTGGTAACAGAATCTTTCCACAGTGAGCTCCTGGGGACCAAAGACTCCAAGGATCTCTTTGAATTTGACTTATGGATGTTATACTTGTGGAGACCAATTGGCCAGAAAAAAATTAAATTTATTAGATTCTGATTTGATGTCAGTCCTACAAATCCTCAAAGAAGATTTACCATAAGATTAAAATGACCATTGATAAGGCGAGTGAACACATTGTAAGTCTGACTGAAGAATACAATTATGCATGCTGAGGAGTTTTTGGTTAGTTACGTTGTTTACTGCCTGCTGAATCTTCCTATAATTTTCTTTGATGGCTGATCTTCACTATTTTTATGACACATTGCTGTATTATCATTTTATATCTCTCGTAAATGCTATGCCAGATATAGGAAAAAGAAAAAGACAAAATCATTGACCTGGATCGTGATAGCTCATAGAATAGATCTGATCCAGGATGTTTTTTTTAGACTGAACCCTGTCTAGCCTCTTAAACAATTGGCTATTAAATCAGGTCAAATCATGTCCTTCCCCTTAGATCTGATATCACAAATATTGAAGTTACTGTCACCAATGCCAGACGACCAAATAGAAAAACTGGGAATGAGGCTTCCTTGTGTCCTGGGACCTCCTGTTGGTTGTTGGTCTACAGATGCATTCCATGGAATAATCTTTGGCCAAAGGGGAAACTGAGGACTGAACTCTGACCTTTTTTCTCTTGTCCAAATTGCTTTCTATGAGGTCTGCTGAATCGTGCCTTAAAAACATTAAAACCTCCTTAAATGGGTTTTTATATTAACCAGGTATAATGTGGCTTACTTTCCAACTTGATTCCAGTGTAGCATCTCATGACAGATAGAAGACCCCCTATCTTAACTCAAGCATTCTTTCTACTGACTTTAAAGTCTTTAGACAAAGCTTAACTCTTTCAACCAATTGCCAAGTAAAGAATCCCTAAAACCCACCCAGGACTTGTAAGCCCTCTCTTCAAGATGTCCTACTTTTCTGGGCTGAACCAATGTATACCTTCCATTTATTGAT